GAAATAAGACCAAAATGAAATTTCTGGAGAAAAAACAAGCCAAAGGTACCTTTAAGGTTGATGTAATGAAAACTGCTTTACTCTTTACTCTTAGTGATTTGCTAAATGCATACACAACTGAAGATACAAAATTTCACATTGCTGCATTTGACAAAGAAGTTTAACCAGTAATTTCAGAAATTAAGAGGGCTTTGCAAAGGACTTTAACCCACTTCATAGGCTTTTGTTTGCTCTAATAAAATACTTGGTTGCTTTCCAGATCACTCAGCAGAGATAAAGCCACCATCCAAGTGCAACGTACAAACACACTGAAAAAGGAAGTTCTTTTATTTTGAATCACATTTGACTGCATAACCAAAAAAATCCCAAAAAGCCAACAAACAAAATGAGGGCTCAAAACTGCTTCTGTCCTTCCAGGATGTGAAAAAGAAATCCAAAAAAACTGTAACACATCATCCCACCTTTCCTTTAATTGTACTGTCCACTCTAATTCAAACAGCAATGAACTGTAACTCTCCATTCTGCTTTCTGAGAGGATTACATGCATGGCTTGTGATCCACCTGGACAAATATGTGGTTCACACCCAACACACCTTTGTCAGCTGCTGTGCTCTTCCCATGGGACTCTTGAGGGTGGCCCATTACACTGGTGACAGTGGACTGCTCCTTATGTAAAGTCAAACACCCAGGCACATACAGGGAGAGGGGGAAAAAAACTAACTGGGGGATTTTGGGAGGGAACTGTATGAGCTCCCCTCACCCTAAGGAACAGGGAGGGAAAGAACTCCTTTCAGCTTGGCTTGGTATCTTATTGAGAATGTACGTTTCCACCCAGTTCCAGTTGCCTCCATAATCCCTTCTACACTTGATTCCTGCTGAGCCTTAAGCTATCAAACACTTAACGAAATAGACACTGTTTCCCTTTGGTGTTTGAGTGGATTTTTGGTTTTCCAAGTCTATGTTTTTTAATCCCGTAAAATGCTTTGGGGAAAGGAGAGAACAGGTAACAAAGAGAATTTTAAGTTCAGTCTTTTTTTTTTTTTTTTAAATGTCTGGCTTTTCTCTTGGTGACAAAACCACTGGTTTGAGATAAAAATAGCACCAGTATCCAAGTGAAAAATCAGCAGACACCCTTGTTCCTTGTAGAGTGATACATCACAAGCATCTTTGGATTGTCAGTCTGCTGCTCCTGCAAATTATTCATCTAGACTAATGCGTGCAAGGAGGGAGATGCTCTAATGCCACCATGAACATTGGTGGTGCTTGTCTGTCTAACAAGTGATGTAATTCACTGCATTTCTCGTATTTCTTCTCTTCCCATATGTAAGAACCAGCCTGCCTTATTCTAATTATAACAACATATGCAGATAGATGTGCTCTTCTTCCTCATTTTATACTTTGAGCTTTGCATGCCTTTCTGCCCAAAATCTCCCTTCTTGTGGCATTTATTCTGAATTGCATCCACATGTTGGACATAGCTACCTGAATAAAAACTGCAGCAACTAAAGGGTTAACCAGAAAAAATCCCAAACAAACAACTAGAATTTGCCAAGCAATGGTATTCACCTGGTTTATGGTCCTTCCTAAACCAGAACTTCCCTGGATATTATGAGTGTACTATGCCTAAAACATTTCCAATAAGATTTCAAAGCTACTTTTTAATGCCATTTTAATGAAGGAAGCGTTCAAAAACTTTAAAGGTATCAAAACCTATTGTTAGACGTGAGGCCGCTTTTTGTCTTGTCTAGTTTTGAGTAACATGCATTGACTGTATGTGCCACTAAAAACTTTTCCACAACATTTCAGTTCTTTGATGGTGTTTTTCTGTTTCATTCATCTAAATTCAGGATTGCTTTCATCAGCTTTCAGTAACAGCTGATGATCACCACTTTTATTATAATTTAAACTTAAAAACCCGGAAAAAGCAAGGCTGGGGAAAACAAACAAAGAACAGAGTAAACAATGAAGAGTTTCACCATCCTGAGCTAGGACTCAAAAATCAACAGAAGTCACACAACTCAAAAGCAGACATAGCAATAATCTCAAAATTAGGAACACTGTTTTCATATTAAAATCTTAAATTATTTTTCCAATATTACTTCAAAAAATCTAAATCTATTTCAATTTAAAAAGTTGACTAAAGCTTTTTGAAGTGTAATATGTATTTTTCTAGAATCTTTCAAAATTATGCTTTACAATGAGTGATTTCTGTTTTGATGAACTTGGTTTACCAACAAAAACATCCTGATAAAAAATCCCTAAACCACCTCAAGTAAAAAGTTATTTTTCAAAACATGCCTTTGTCTTCCTGACAGCATCCTCCAAGTGGTAGTAGGAACTCTTAAAATTAACAGAAGGTATATGCAGAGGAGGTGGGAAATTTGGAAAGAGTGCTTCAAATGCCAGATCTATCATCCGTATTATTAATATGTCAGATCTGGTGCATATGAAGATGCATTTCTGTGCGATGAATACCTCTCATGATGTATGAATCCTGAGGTGGTGCTGAAAATGTGATGAGGTGTCCATTTAAGAAAGAAGGAATGTCCTGAGTAAGGAGCAAAACAGGATCCTGAACTGCAACAGCCCCATGCAGGGGAGGGAAGCATCTATTTACTACATTTTTAATGAATAACAGTGTGAAGCTAAAAATAAAAACAGCAAGGAGAAGAGCACATCTTTAATGAAGAGACAGGCAATGTGTCAGCTCAAGAAGCTTCAAGGCTAGGTGAGCTCTAGGAGACAGGGCTATTTCTCTTGGCTTCTCCCTAAATAAAGGTCCACTCAGGCCATGCATAATGTCTGAGTTGAAGCCTGGGCTTCCACGAGGAAGATATCTGTCAAAGAAATCCTGAAAAGCTAGGAAGAGAGAGATGTCAGAAACAAATGGAAATTATTTTTCTTTTGCAACTTTGTCTCCAAGTTTTATCATCACAGAAATAATGCATGACTTGAATACTAAGCCCAGAAGTGTTGCAGGTGAGCACAACAAAGCCCTAATAATGCTATTTAGCATCCATTTCCCAGCAGACTGCACAGCTCAGCTTGGGGATTGGTAGTGGTGCATGAGGACAGAGAAGGAAAGCCTCAGTTAATGTACTGATATGTCTCCAGCAGCAGACAGAAGGTGGAACATATTGTGTATGTTCCATCCACCACGTATTGTGACTATCTCCTTGGCTCTCCTTTTTTTGATCTAGACCTTAAGATCTCATGAACACGTACGTGTGAGAAAAATCTCATATTGCCATCATCCCTAGAGTCAGTCAATAGCTTTCATTGTTAGTTGTCCAGGCAAATGCCTAAGAAGAGTTGAAGGAAGTAGTGGCAGTTGAAGAAATTTTAACACCTCAGTGAAACAGATAAATGCACCTCAGTTAATATCTTCTGTGTCACTACCACTCCTGTGCAGGTTTTTCCACTTCCACTTGATGCCATGTAGCTGGGCCTTCGCCATACCACTAATACCAGAATGAAAGGTTGGAATGATTTCATCTGATCTACCTAAGAAGGTCCTTCATGTCCCCGTTTTTTTTCCTGGATGCCCCAAGGCAAAAAATCAGCATGCTGATGGCAGCACTTATCAATCATTACATTAGAAACACCACCATACTCCAAAATGCACTTTAATTGTCACAAAAACACACTCCTCTACCTCACCTACACAGAGAATTACATCCTGGCATCTCTTGCATCTTCCCTTCCAGCTTTGTTTACATCCTCTGAGATTTACATTCCTTCTTTAGCCCATGCAAAGCAAGAGATATTCCTGGCATCTGTGTGTCCATTACCATGGTTACCTAGTTCATCTGCAGCAAAATGGATTGGTCCATGACCTGACACCACAGCTCCAGAAGTATACTCCTCCCTTGTCCACCGCTTTCCAACCTTTCCTGCTCCAGCTATTTTTTCAGAATATTTCAATGCAAACAACAGTGGGGTACCAATACAAACACTCCCAAAGTCTTCAGCACATTTTTCTCCCTATATAGCATAACTAAGTGTGTTTTTTGGCAGGCCCAGTCCTTGAAAAATTTCAGGCAATTTTTCCAGCAAGCTGTCATCAATAGCATACTTGCAGATCTTACCCACTGCATTTTATTTGAGGATGTAGTATTTACTTGCAAATTTTAACTTGAAAATTTAGCCTTAAAAGCATGCTTACAAGAACACTTGTGACTACACAACTACCTGGGTCTGTCAGGGAAGAACAAAGGTTTGGGGCGTAAGAATGAGGAACATGTTCTAAACAAGGGTCTCAGCTGGATGGGGAAATGAACAGCTTCCTCCCAGAAAAACAGTTTGGGTTTCTTTGGTATCACAAATTTTACAGCACGAATTGAATTAATTGTCATCTACTAAGATATTAGCAAGCCAGGCATCACTCCTAAATAAGTGCCCAATATCAAATGAGGTATAAACAACAAAATATTGATAAAATATAATGAAGACAGCTGTCAAACCAGGCAGGAGGCATATGTATCTCCACAACTGGCTCAAATGTTCACTGAAACAAAGCTTATCAGCTGGTTTTTTTTTAAGCAACATCATTCTCACAGGTTTTTTTTCCAGGTAATATTAATAGCAAAATAGATATGTAAACTGCTATGAAAAATTCCTGCTCACACCATTCACCTGTTCCCATAATTGAAGTTTCTAATATTCATACCAAATTTGACCTACTTAAATAAACTTAAAGCAATGATGTAATCTCTGGAAATGGTACACTAAATAGGTGTACCACACAACATCAAGGCAAACACAGATGTATCTTATGGTGATTCTGAAAACACAAATACCAATGAATCTCTGTGAGGAAACCAAAAGCTGGCAAAATTCGAAATGGCTTTGTAGTCATATAGTTATGTAAAATAAAGTTGTGAAGTTCTCCAGACTTAACATGGCTGAAATAGAGTGGGTAATTTGTTTGCATCTCAGCAGCAAAAAAAACCCCAGTCAAATGACAAACCAACGCAAAACCGACCAACTCGTACACCTACCTTTTCCATTTATTGTTAATGCTGATGCAATTGTGGCTGTTACTGGCACTGGCAATTGTGGCACTAATGGATGTATCCTTGGTCGGCTCCCCATTCTAGCACGCTCTGCACCAGGTCCTAATAAAGCTCCCACCGGTTTTTCTGCTGCTACTTCTGGTGCTACAGAGTCGTCTTGATCCTGCTCTATATGGTCCATTTTATCCGGGCTTTCATTCTGGAAGCCATCAACTGTTGTCCGACTCTTAATTGGACTTTTGGGCACTAGGATTTTAATACCTGATTTTGCAAGGTCCATATTTTTCCGTCCAGAAAGAGATGGTGAATTGTTTTTCCGGAACTTCTGTGCAGCAGAAAAAAGTTGATTATTTTTTGACTCATGTTCTTTACTCATAACTAAAGATTTAGAAGATGTCTTTGAAAAAGAACTATTGGTAGATCTAGAAATTTGTTTTCGGGCATTATTTGGAGAGGTCCTGTTTGTCCTGGTTAATGTGCTTTCTTTCTGCTTTTCATTGTGGCGTCTGTTAAATTCATGTATATATTCCTCACAATTAACAAGGTGCTGTTCTGGCTCCCAAGTATCATCGTCACTGTCGTATCCTTTCCATCGCACCAAATACTCTGGTTTTCCCTTCTTGTTTTTCCTCTTGTCAACAATTCTCTCTACCTGTTAAAAAGGAAAATTAAACATAAGACATGGACAGATATACAACTCAAGGGAGCAACTTGCGTGCAAATAATTTTTTAAGTGTAGACAGATTTTAAAATATTCTTGTAGCTCTATAGCTTACAGTCTTTCACTGCTGACTGGACACTACTCTCTTTAAGCTTCAGATTGTTACTTTCATCTCAAAAACATGTTCTAGAATACCAAAATTGTTCTTCACTAAGTATTTTGCATGCACAAGAATCTGAATATGACATATTAAAACTGACAATTGGCACTGGTCCCAGTGAAGCTCTTGAACCAACTTCAATGGGGATAGGATTTCCCTCTCTGAATACAGAGGTCATGTTTAAATATGCTGTATAAATACAGTGTGTGTTTACCCTACAAAACTTATCAATTTGATATTGTTTGAATAATTTGCTTGCCTAGCATAAGGCATATGTGAGAATCTCTTACTTACAGTGAGTTATCCTTTAGCTACCAGGGACAACATAGAACAGCTCAGGAATTGGGGCAAGAAGATTTTTTTTTTTAGAGGCTTTTTGTGAGAACAGAGAACATTTTGGCCAGAGTTTTTGATACACATACTTGAACAAATTACCATGCCTCACTTATCTGCAAATAGAGATGATATTTATGTCACAAGTATTAAGTATGCACATGCTACAACTGCATGTGGGACCCACAGGCTGGAGGAATTCAGGCACTGGGGTAAAGCAGACAGGGCAGACAGCAGCAGCTGCAAGGACAGAGGCTCATGCCTCGGACCAAAACTCATGCCAATCACGCTAATCCTCCAGAAAGGAAATTCTTTTATCAAAAAAGAGAGATAAATGCAAGGCTAGTCTCTAGGATTTCCCCTTTTTATTTCCTTTTTCCTACCCAGGCTGATTCTTCTGGTAAATCCTCCATCCCACTTCATTTCAGTTATGGGACCAATACAGCTTTCTTACCCATCTCTCTCTTCTTTTTGGTATTAAAAACGAAGGGAAAAAAAAGGCAGAATTTGAGACTATCACTTATTAATTTAACTCCCAGCCCTTCATGAACAAAGACGATGCACAGAAGCCAAGATTACACGTACCTAGAAGAAGTTCTGAAGAAACAGTAACATTTACTGTAGTGCCATTAATGAAATGGAATGTCTACAGAACAGTTTAGAAGGATGGAAGGAAAATACAACTATGTGTGGTGCACATATAAAAGGTATGTGATTCATTACCAAGTCACATCACTGCCGACAACAGATTCTCTTAAGAGTGCACCTCAATTGGCATGTGGCATGCTATCATAATGTACTCCCTAGTTTTCAACAGTGAGGTTAAATGACTACTATTATTATAATCTCATCAGCAATATAGGGACATACCCAACAACTGCATGTGACTCCCTGCAGGTGTTCTACTATGCTGTCCTATTATTAGGATGTTGCACAGCTCTGTTTGCACAAGTCTTCAAAAACTCAACCAAATCAACAACACGCAAGTAAAAATCAAACACAAACTAGCTCTACCTTAGCTTTGTTTATGACCTGAAGAGTTGAATACATTTTATAGAGAGAAATGCAATATAAATTGTCCAAAGTTTATCTAAAATCTTAAAATACCTTAAAACTATTTTTATTGTAGTTCTTTAACTTTTTAGTAAAGTTACTGCACTTAAGAAAATATGCATCTAGAAAAAGGAAACTTGTTTTTTCCATTAACTACTTCAGAACATCTTACAAGAAAACACAACTCCAAATAAGAAAGACACTGTAGAAAAATATGCCTTCAAAATTTTTTTAGTGGAGATTGAGTAAAAAGACCTTCAAGTAATAAGCCAGAAATGTTAAATTAAAAACTAAAACCAAACTCATGAATCAAACTTCATATCTTGTCAAAAAAGCAGTTACTGCTATAGTCTTGCTTATCCTCTCTGCCTCTCTCGACCTTCTAAAATAGATTTTAAAAACACAATTCTCAGAGAAAGATCTCTACTACTAGCAAGGTAATTTTATTTTCTAACAGGAAATCTTTGTAACAAACAGCATCAATTACTGGGCACAAAGTTCTGCTACAGTCTTTCAATAGTGAAAGGCCACCCATTAAGGGCATGCCCTTTTCAAGCAGGAAGCCATCCCTCTCGTCCAAAAAACCAGACACCTTGCAGAGATAACAGATGAACTCTAGAACATGAGATGCAAAAATCCATTCTTAACCTGATGATTTATGGAGCAAACAGAAATGCATAAAGAAAACCATTATATTTAGCTGTATTGTCCAAGCCTGCAACAAAACCTATTTTGTCATTGCTCTTTTTGATTAAAAGATTTTTTCCTAACCCTTTATTTCTTCTTGAATACATTTTTTATTTTATTTATAACACAAAAATTATAGCAATTAACCTGTGATATGCAATTTATCATGCAGCTTCAGAGCTTTACTGAGGGACTCTTTTTGGATTGCTTCGGTTTGATTAGTCTGATTCCCCTAGAAGGACTTGAAAAACTGCTCAGGAATATTCTGCCTCAATACTTTTGCTGATGATAACAGCGACATAAGTGTTTCTCATCCAGATTTGGGAGCAGAAAACTGGAATGCTTACAAAATACGCACAGAGCTTGAGTATAGAACAAGAATAGGAATATCCATCCTGAACTAGTGGTTTATTTAAACTGTTTCATGCTAAAAACAAAGACTACAAACTTGTGCTTCTCTTCTCCTACTGAAAAAGAAAGCTTGTCCAAGTCATCCATTTCTCCTTTGCTTTACAGTGGTGATTTGACATGAAATACAACGCAAGACACCTCGAAGTCTGATGTTAGAAGATACCAATGATTTACACCCAAATATTAAAATGAAAAAACAGATTGTAACTGGGTGGGTAAAAACATCTACATTCCCACTTCCTGACACATCAGTCATGGTGTGGTTTGATGATACGGCTACCCTGTTGGAACAGCTAGGCAGCATCCACACAGGCAGTATTGTTTCTCCCCGTTATTGCTGCCCTGGAGCTGAGCTTATCTTATGCCAAGTTAGTTCAGAGAGTTAGAACCTGGCAGAGTGTCCCTAACCAGCGGAAGAAGAGCAAGACCACATCCTTTGCCATAATCACACCAGAAATGCTGGCAACAACTGGTGACAACTACCATTTCTACAGTATCCCATGCCTTCCACCATGGGGCAATATTTATTTTTAGTAATTAAAAGGTTCTGTACTGCAGGATTTGCCATTCATTCTTAGTTTTCAAGTGTTGTAGAAGACTCAAAACAAAATGGAAAATTATATAAAAAAAGAAAATATAAAACAGGTGTGAGGGAAAGTTATCAGGCAAACTATCTGGGTGGCAAAAAAGTAACATTTCCCAGTTTATTTTAGCATACTAAGTTGTTACTTTTCCCACCTGGGCGATACTGATCAATGACACTCAAAAACTCAGCCAGCAGAAAAACTGACAGAAAAACAATGAGCTGCTCAGAAGTACAGTCCAACAAGGGTGAAATGCACAAATTATAATCCCACACACCACAACTGTAGCTGAGATGGTAAATTTCGCTTCCTTCCATGAATGTGGCGAAATTGGTTTGTGCTTGCTTTCTCTCCCTGAGGATTTTAATAGCTTTTATTAGCAAAATATACTGCATTTACACTTACAAAAAACCCCCAAACAGACAAGAACAAGATAAGCTTGCAGGTTAAACTGCTGTCTGACTACAGACAGCTGCACCAGGTGGAAATGTCAACACTGCAACTCCTCCTCCCTGTCCTGTGCTCAGAGACAACAGCTCCTCCCCATCTGTCACAGCACAACTTCTGTAATTATTCCCTAATGTAGTTCTGTCAAAGTGACCTGGTTTAGATATTAAGAATACCTGAGCTAATGTAGGCATCCTGAAATAACTGGTTTGGAGAGCAGCTGCTTTTGCGGTATGTTCTGACACATCTAAGAGGACTGTACCTTTCAGCAGAGGACAACAAACACCTACGTGCTGGACAGGTCCAGTAACCTCTTTGTCAGAAAAAGGACACCCATCCTTAATGCCTGATGAAAGATCTTTAGTTCAGGTCAATAAAAGTAAGCAAGAAATTCAAAAGAACATTCTCAATTTAAAGCATTATAATTTGGGCACATTTGTAAACTCTCTGTGTAATGCTCTCTGTGTTTGTGTGTGTATATACATAAGTATGTTATATATATAAAAAGATCATGCTTTAATTTAACAAAACATTTCAAGAGATTAAACTAAAGGTACAGCTGTCAGGGGGTGGGGAGGCAACAAAAACCAGAATGAGCAAAATAAACATACTTGGGCATGTAAATATTCAATGAGCACTGCCTTGTTTATAATAAATCCTTTTTGCATTCCCATTATGTTCCTTTCTGTCCTCACATTCATGTCAGGCTAAATTAATTTAAAGTTAGTAGAATACAATCTATTTGACTTTATCTGTTGTCTGTAAACTATAGAAGGCCTTGTTCTGTTAGCTGAACGTTATGTTTACACTAGCGTTTTGGTTCAGAGCAAAAGTGCAATTTAGAAGCAAATCTTTTTCTCCTCTGCACTATTCTGCTCACTGTTCAATGGTTTCACAGACCAGTTTTGGTATCTATGATGTGGATTCTTTATGGAGAAGTATAAACTGGAAGTGGAAATGTTACGAGTGTAATGGTGTTATCTGTCATGCTTCAACCCCTAAGGGGACACACAGATCCAAGCAAATAACAGCTCTGAACAGTTTCAACACACACAGTAGCATGGATATTTGATCCTGAGAGGCTCCACTAAATCTAGTCCAAAATAAAAGTGCTGCACAGCAGAATATGTAGAGGTGAGGGTCACAGCACCAACTGCTTCACTCTACTGATTTTCTCCACTTGAGCCAAATTACTGCTGTAGTCATTCCCCCAGTTAGAGACAGAAGCTTGAATGCATGCAAGCCTTATGTTACACACATGTATGTTCTACAAGTGAACAATCATCCTTGCTTAAATTGGAAACTCTTCCGCATAC